AAAGCAACAATCAAATGCCATAGTATTTATTGTTGCTTGTTACGTACAATGTTCTTTAGTGTGGTCGAATGCGGTGAACCTCTTAATACCATATGTTGCATATGCAAAGCAGTAGAAAACATTTAACACTATTTTTATTCGCCAAATACATTTTTATTATTGTTTGTTTATTTTATACAATTTATCGATAACAAATCAGCTGTTCACTTGATAAGCAATTGCACAACTGTTGCTTTGTCCGGCCGTTTTAAAAAGTTTGGTCACTTTGGACATCAGACGCTTCTCAGGAGTTATTTTACAAATTGCCCAGGGAAATTTTTCGAGACCAAAAATTTCCTTTTGCCTATCAGATGCATTTGACTGCAAAAAGAACGGTAACTAAAATATACAGAAAAAGTAGACATTTTCTTTAAATTTGATTTTTTTATTTCATAATTTGTAGAGTTGTGCGTCCATTAAATATTGTACACAAGATAATCACAGCTGTGGAGTGAATTCAGTCTTCAATCTGTGTAAAGCTCATCGAAATCCAGTAGCCTCCAGTGCTTGGCCAGGACCTGCAACAGAAGAAAAGAAATAAAAAGAAAAAAAAAAATGTCCTAATAGTCCAAATGTCGATTTCAGGTGTCGTGCAGTCTTTTGGTCTCTCGCTCCACAAGGGAACTGAAAACTTGACAGTCTTAGAAAAATTGCAGTTTTGGAAATATCAATTTGAAAAAGTCGATTGGACCAGAATATAATCGTCTAAAATTTTTCATTTCTGGAGAGCCAACCGGCTCAAAATGTGCATCATATTATCACATATCTTATACTCGAAGAATATGTATATGTATATCTTTGGAGGTTTTGAACCTTTTACGAATTAATTTTTCTGGTCTCATTTTGTAGTCGTTCTGTCGCTGAAAGACAGAAATATTTCAGATTTAGCATGGGTTATGCTCTTGTCTTGGGGGTTAGCTTGCCGGTCCGGTTGTTAGATGTGATATTAGATTTGGATCGTTTTTAAAAAACGATTTGTATATATATATATAAATATAGTATGAGTGCTGTTTGCTTAAGGGGGCTGCGGAGTGCGGGGCGTGACTCGACTCCGACTTCGCATGGAACGTTCAATTTGCAACTCTTTGGTTGCTTTCTTCTGACTAAAAGTCCAACTCTCGTGTGGGGGAAGCACCGGGGGGTTAAAAGCACACACACACACATTACACACACGTCACTGCTTTGATTTTTCATTAACATTGTTAACGGTACGTTCTTGTTGTGCTGTTGTAGGTTGTTGTTGTAGCGTCTTTTAAATAAAGTTCACGTTTTGTGCTTGATATATTTTTTTCTCTCTTTTCTGTATTTTTTTTTGTTTTGTTTTAAAATATGTATTAGATGATTTCTTTTTTTTTTTTTTGTAATTTGCTTATTTTGTAAGTTTGTTTAAATCATAGAGAACTTTCGCATGACAAATAGCTAGGCAAAAGAGAGAGAGAGTGAGAGTGTAGGAAACAGGCAGAGAGAGAGAGAGAGAGAGAGTTGGAGTGTTGTGTATAAGAGACGAGCTGTTCGTACGATTGGATTTGCATAACGATTATTGGCGCTGGGGCTGTGTGCGTGGGTCCAGCTGCTCACTTAGCTTACTTTTTCTTTCATTTATGATTTTCATTGCATTCGAAGACATCTTCGTTTCTTCTACTTTTCTTCGACTTTCACACGCGACCGTTGCGACACTTTTGTGTGCATCATTTCTTAAGATGGAGTAGGTTGGTTGGGAGGATTTTCGCGCACTTTTTGAATACCCGTAAACAATACTCAACGACACACTCAACGTCTGCCGTCCCGATAGCTGCGTTGACCCCCACCGCCACCACCACGATCGCCACGAAATTGTCGCGAGGATCCGCTACGATTGCCGCCATACTCGCGTCGTCGACCGCCTACGGAGCTGTTGTTGTTGTCCCGGTTGCCTGCACTGATACCCGGCACGTTTGGCCCGCCCACGTTGCCGCCAGCTGCATTGCTGCTGCCACTGCCATTGGCAGCGTAAACCGGAAATCCAGGTGGAGCCGACACTGTCGGGAGACCGGCATTTTTCCAGGCCGCAAAATCCTCGTAGCTGGGCGCCTTATCGAAACCCGGCGGCGGTGGTCGCATTGGCTGTGGCGGCGGGTAGTCTGGCAGCGGCGGCGCTCCAGGTCCATCATAATACCGCACCGGTGGCGGCAGTTGCTCGTACATTGACGCTGGCGCGCCCGGTGGTAATGCGTTGGCAGCTCCCGCTGCCGAGGGCATTGGCAACTGGCCAAAGGGCGGCACAAACGGCAGCGGGGGCAGCTGGCCGTGCATGTTGCGTATATAGTCGGCCACATAGGCCTCGGCGGCAGCGGCCGAGGACATGTAGCGCTCCCACGAGGGCATGCCCATGTCACCGGGACCAGCTGCACCGCCAGCCATCTGGCGGTAGGGTGAGCCACCGCGCTTGAAGCCGCCGCTGCCGGGCATGCCCATGCCCATGCCATGGTGATGATGATGCCGATAGGGTCGTTGATGATGATGTGGCGCGCCATGTCCATAGCTGCGCTTGTGCCGCATCGGTCCGAGCTGGCTGTTGCCACGACCGCTGTGGCCCCGCGTGGAGAGGCTGCGCGGCGCCTTGTAGATAACATGGATGCCCTTCTCGCGCATCACGCGCGCCGTTTCCTTGGACTTCCGCAGAATGGGCGTCAATTCGATTTGTTCATCCTCGGGAAACAGACGGCACAGTTCGGCGCCAATTTTGGGCTCAATCTCCTGGCCATCACGTCCTATCTTTACCGGCTTGCCCTCGTTCCACGAGTTGTGCAAGTGCAAGGTGGCATTAAACGACAGTTCCTTGCGACAGATCCAATCCAGCTCGATGACGCCGCCCAAAGCCTTCGGCGAAATGCTGGGTGGCAGCACCCAGGCCACCTGCGGTATGTCCCTACGCGAAGGCGCAGCCATGCGCGCAAAGCCCGCGAATTTACCTATCAGATCAGATATAAATGGGAAGAGAGGAAAGAGAGAGAGAGTATTAGTTACCAAAATGGAGTCCCAGCCAGCCCGCTTACCGCTCTCATTAACGGAAAATATGAGCAGCACATTGCGCGCCTCCTTGAAGGCCTGACTCAGATTGGCATCGTTCTGGGGCAGCGTCGCCCAGACGCTCTTGCTCTTGGACAGCTGCACGTTGTCGCTGTTATTGGACTTGATCAGAAAGAAGCGGGTGTCGCGAAATAGATAGTTCAGCTTGGTCATGTAGTCATAGGACTTTTGGGTGTTGCCACCGCCATCCTTTTCTGGCGTGGAGCCCTTCGAGCTGCTCGCCATCGTCACCTTGCTGCGCGCGCCGCCATTCCGTTTGTGCTGTGTGCCCGAATCCGAATCGGAGGACTCGCTATCCGACTCGAGTGCGGGCAGCAGTGAGGGTTTCTCGTCCTCCGCATCGCTAAGATCGCTCTTGTTGCCGCCGGCACCCGCCCCACTCAGATTGGCTGCCGTGGAGCTGCTGCTGCTGGTGGTTTTCTTGCTGCGCGTTTTTTTGATGCTCGGCTCACGCTCCTCGCTGTCCTGCGACTTGGAGTTGGCCTTCTCATCTGTCTCAACGGGCTTCTTCGACTTGGACTCGCTGCCGCTGCTGCTGGACTTTTTCTTTTTGCCATTAAGGTCGCCGGGTGATGCGTCACGCTTGGTTTTCTTAGAGGACTTGCCCTTGCTAGTGGACGCAGCTGATGCAGTTGTTGACGTTGCGGGTTTGGCAGCAGTTTCTTTGCTTGCTTTACTGCTAGACTTGGTTTTGGTCAGCCGTTTGCTGCTCCTGCTGCCATCCACAGAGGACGGAGCCGTACTTACCGAGCTAATGCTCGGCTCCGAGTCGGAGGCCATGGAGCCAGCTCGCGATTTGGACGCTTCACTGCGCGTGTCGAACGAATCGAAGTCCTGCAATTCCTCGGCAATATCCGCCTCATTCTCGTCAAGGCCGAGATGTACTGCATCTAAATCGGCCATGTCGCGCATTAGCGACTGCTGCGCTTATCCTATTTGACGCAATGAACGGTACTCTGTTTGTTTACCTTCCCACAGTGTTTTGTTGCTGTAGCTGTTGCTTTCGTTGTTGTTGTTGTTGTTGCCCGCTTGTAGTACTATGGACTGCTTGGCGGCGGCTTCTCTACTCTCCTCTTCTATGCGCTCCTTCATTCAAGCGCGCATGAATGAGACAGCAAGCGGAGCAGCGGAAATAGACATAGAGAAAAAATGCCAATCGATTTAGCAAACCGAATCTGCAAAACTCAATTTGCAAATTGCACAGTGTCCAACACTCACTTTCTGCACGCTGCGTGCTAGTAAACGCAGTAGATTTGCGCTCACTTTATTGCACTTTTTGTGTATTTTTCACTGCTTTAATTTACCAATTTAGAAGAACAAATCTTTTACAACGATTTTGCGTCAAGAGAGACAAGAGACCAATGGCGGCAGAGGAGTGCCGCTATATGCATACAAGCGCAATGCAGGGTTTCTTTGGGCTTAACATCGAATTTGCATCTACCGACCGGCAACTAGTTATCGAATAGCTACCGGCCTTTTTTCCAAGCTTAATGCATTGTATGTCTAGTGGCTTAATGTTTAGCTGGCTAAACTTTAAAAAGGCTTTTAATTTAAATTAAATTACAAGTAAAATTGATATATTAAATAATCAGTAGCAAATACTATACATTTTATTGTTACAATATTTACAATAATTTTACAATAATTTTTCTATTTTTTATTTTAACATCGACTAGCAGCAACAATATGATGATTACATATCTTGATCATAAGCACTTCCTAAGCAAACATAAAATACAAACAAACATCATTTGAATCTAAGTGCTACTGCTGGCAGTTTAAAGACGTTACATTTAAATAGTGACGCACGCATTTGGCTCGTGCATCATTGTGCTCTGGTCCATTCGATAGCAGAGCTGACCAGCTGATTCATCGATAGGCAGAAGAAGGCAATACAAACAAAGAGCAGGCACAAGCTGACACAATAAAAACAACACAATAACAATAACTAATTAAAGCAAAACAGCAAGTATTAAACACTGTGAGTCATCGAATAAACGGGCAAAGGTTTATTCTCAACCATGTCCGAGAACACAGCAAAAGAAGCCGAACCACCCAGCTACGAGGAAGTCATGAGAGGCAGTGCGCCCCCCATGCAGGGTGAGTAAACGAATGCCAAAGCAAAACACGTAAACATTACATTACACCAATTAATGCAGATGCTCGACTCATAACTGGCGTACATCAGGGCGCGCCGTCAGCACCACCAAATATGGCCAGCTATGGAGCATTTGAGACAACGCCAGTTAGCATTGTGGTGCAGCCAGCGCTGCCCACAGAGATCATAGTGATCGGTGCGTGCCCGTCGTGCCGCATTGGCTATCTGGAGGACACATTCTCGCCGCTGGGTCTATGCTGTGCAATATTTCTCTTTCCCATAGGCATACTCTGCTGCCTGGCGATGCGCGAGAAGCGCTGCAGCAATTGCGGAGCGACATTTTAGCTGGAAGCGCTGCGCCGCCAGGTTAACTCTCGATGATCTGCAAGATCTGCAACTATTCCCTGACACATTGGACTGTTAAGTTTTTAAAATCACACAATCAAATTATGCTAACTGGTTAGCTTGTTAATCATTAAACTCGATGTATGTATGTATATGCACATGTATATATCTGTAAATACGGATATCTTAGGCTCTCACGAGGCGTCTGCTCTGCCCGGAATCAGACTCGCCCAAACATTACATTCCATTTGCGATGTGGCCGTTGTTGTGTGGACAAGGCCCGCTTCCGTCAAATTTAATTGAGATATAATGGGGGCGGTTTTGAATTACGCCGCTTGTTTGCTGCCTTCTCTTTTTATTTTTGCTTGCATATATGTTTTTGCTCTTTGTGAAACGTAAACAAGTGAAAATTTAAGTTTAAGCATGCACGACTCTCGCATGCCCTGTAAATAAATAAATTATTAGTCACTCTCCGTAACTGTCCATTAGTTAATTTTATTAAAAAATGATCAATAATATACCCACTTTCTATGCGAATTGCTTCATCAAAGACAGATCTATAACCATAAATCCAATTCGGTTTGCCACACGCCTCTGCAGCTAGCTTATATGCCCTACTGTGTATATTGAATCAGCTCAGTGTAGAACAAAGTCGCCGGCATTCACATCCGCCGCATGGGCATCTTTCAGACTGCAGTCGCAAAAGTCTCTCGCGTAGACATGTCCAATATCTCAGCTCTGCTCCAGCTGCTCCTGCTGCTGTGGACTACGCTCCTGGCTGGAACAGTGTCGGCCTCCGCCCGCTACAATGTGGTAATGGTTATCTTTGACGATCTGAGGCCAGCTTTGGGTGTTTATGGCGATAGCCTGGCGCGAACGCCACATCTGGATGCTTTCGCCCAGGGCAGCAGCTATTTTACACGCGCCTACAGCCAGGTAAGCCTCCAGGATTGCTCCCAAGCCCAGTTTTGATAGATTTGCTCAATAGCAAGCGCTGTGCGCACCCAGCCGCAACTCCCTGCTGACCGGTCGACGTCCAGACACGTTGCATCTGTACGATTTCTACAGCTATTGGCGCAGCTTTGTGGGTAATTTTACGACCTTGCCGCAGTACTTTAAGGAGCACGGCTATTACACCTACAGCTGCGGCAAGGTATTTCACCCGGGCCTTTCCTCCAACAACAGCGACGACTATCCTCTGAGCTGGTCGGCGCCGGCGTTTCGTCCGCGCACAGAGCAGTTCATGAACTCCCCGGTCTGCCCGGATCATGGGGGGAGCGTGCTGCGCAAGAACTACCTGATATGCCCCGTGCAGCTGCAAACGCAGCCATACAAAACGCTGCCGGACATCGAATCCGTGACGGAGGCACTGCGTTTCATAGATTCGCGCAAGCGCAGTCGCCAGCCGTACTTTCTGGCGGTGGGCTTCCACAAGCCGCACATCAATTTCCGCTTTCCCAGGCAGTTTCTTGGTCGTTTTCCTCTGGCACCTTTCTACAACTATACGGAGGATGCTGTGAAGCCGCCGGATATGCCAGACGTGGCCTGGAATCCCTATACGGATGTGCGCTCACGCGACGACTTCAAGCACAAGAACATATCCTTTCCCTATGGACCCATTTCTAGGCAGCAGGCGGCGCAGATTCGACAGGCCTACTACGCCTCCGTGGCCTATGTGGATGATCTGTTCGGCAAGCTGATGGCCCGCTTGGATCTGGAGCGCACCGTGGTTGTCGTACTGGGCGATCACGGCTGGTCGCTGGGCGAACACGCCGAGTGGGCAAAGTACAGCAACTTCGAGGTCGCGCTACGCGTTCCGCTTATTATACGCAGTCCAGAGTTTCCATTGACCCAGCCTCGTCCGATGCACAGCATCACAGAGCTGCTGGACGTCTTCCCTACGCTGGTGGATCTGGCCCATCTGCCGCCGCTTCCGGCGTGCAATAGAAGCAGCAGCGGGCTGGAACAGCTGACCTGCTCCGAAGGAAAGAGCCTGTACCCGCTGCTCCAAGGCTTGGGCTTGGGTGAGTGCCATGTGTGCTTGTGCGACCACCTTTAGCTAAGTCTTTTTATCCCACAGCTGAGGAGCATGTGGCCATCAGTCAGTATCCGCGTCCAGGTATGCTGCCCACAAAGCATCCCAACAGCGACAAGCCCAAGCTGCGCAATATCAAGATCATGGGCTATAGTCTGCGCACGAATTACTATCGTTATACGCTCTGGGTGCGATTCCATGCCCATAACTTCAGTCGAGGTGAGTCAAAGGGTTCAGGGCTTCCTCGAGCTATTTACCCTTAAGGTAGAAATACCTTTAAGTTAAGGAGAGTGCCCGCAAAAATTTAAACAAAAACAAAAAGGCGAATTATTTTCTTTTCAATTTATTTTTCCGCTAAGGAAAATATGAATATACAAATTATAAATATTTAAAAATACCCTTATCGATTGTAGATAAATAAATTAATAATAAAATATTTTGCCTGAAAATATTTACAGATTGGCACAATGTCTACGGCGAGGAGCTGTACGACCATCGTTTGGATTCCGGCGAAGAGTTCAATTTGGCTGCGCTGCCGGAGTTCAATGCCATTCGCCAGCACTTGCGCTGCCGTCTGATTAAGGCCGTGGGTTAAAGTCCTGCTAGGGTCAAATATAACAGTTCATATGTATTATAGAAAAAACAACAAAGCATTAAAGAAATAAACTTCGCAAATTATATAAAGGAAATTATTTAATAAAAGTTTGAATCTTAAGATAGTATAGATACATGGTATCGAAGTTATGGGATACATAAAATAAACAAAACAAGGAAATATTATAAAGTATTAATAATAATAATAATAATAAAATATTGATAATAATAATAATTATGTTAGTAATATTAGCTTTCATAACTATCATAACAATATGTTAAAATAATTTCAAATTATTTATATAATAAGGATCAATAATATTCTCCATTGATTAGTTGCTTGGTTACGTTATGCCAATATTATAGGGTGTCTATTAGTTGAGGTCCATTTTTTTTGTCTCTTCACTCTTGTCGCAGCTCGTGCCGCGCCGCGCTGCCCCGCGCATGCGTGACTTGTGTCCGTTGCCTTTTCCGTTGCTTCGTTTTGTGAATATTTGTGAATGAAATTTCATTGAACGAGCGGCTCTTGCCGCTGCCGCCGTTGACAGCGAAGTCGTCGCAGTCGCCGTTGGCGTCGCAGTCGCAGTTGGCGTCGACGCCCATGCTGTTGCCAGGCGGGTGAAAATATGTTGGCGCTGTTTGGCTGGGTAATTAAATCTGCAGTCGACGCATCGCTTGATCAATCTGGTCTGCCCCTCGCCCCCCGCCAGCTGCCAGCTTCATTCGGCTGTGCTCTCCAATTGCACACCTACATAACTATGCACACACGCACACACGCACACACACACATGCACATGTGTGTCTAGTGTTTGGCGTGGGCTATGCTGGGAGTCGGCTGTGTTGGTGGCTCCGCTTGTCATCTGGCCATATGGGCCGTTTCTTGAGGTGATTAAACTGAATTTTTGGCAGCGCTTTTACTCGCAATGGGCGTTATGAACCACATTTTCCGCTAGCCATGCAGCTGCTGGCATTGTGTGTGTGTGAGTGTTGTGTGTGGTGGGTGTGGCAGATGCCATAAATTGCAGTTATACGTGTATGTGCATACATATGTAACATATATATGTAAAGAGCAGCCTACTCATATGAATTTCGAAAGCTGTGCTTAAAAGCGTATTTCTATACCCTGATAGTTTATGAAAGTGTTCAAAAAGGGTATTACATATGTTTGTAATAGGCACCTGACAGCTTCGATCTGGATGCAGATTTCAGATGCAGATGCATTTCAGATTAGATATTCATTTCATTTTATCTTTATTACGATTTGAATATAATGTTAAATATTATTATTACTCTTATTAGTAGTATTATTGTTGTTATTATAAATATTATGATTAGTAAACGTAATGCTAAACCCTTGCCGAAGTGGAGATACACCTCTAGGGGGGAGTTTCTAGTGATCCCAGTGTGAGAAGATCCCCAGCATAAAGAAAGGTATTTGTATTGTTTATTAGCATTACTAAAAATATTATAATACTCTTTTTATTATCAGCAGTTTTATTCGTTCTATTGTTATTTTTAGCATAGCATATAAATAACCAAAGTGGTCGAACTTGAATATTCATCATCCGTTTGATTAGCTATCGACAAAAGGTTCCATTACATTTTCTACATTCAAAATTGAAATATGAGGTGGGCAACAGTTAGTCTACAACTTCCTGATCTTCATTCTCAATTGCAGCTCGAGAACTTCCGGCATGGACGAAGCCATTTTCCCAAATGCAGAAAGTGCTCCTTCTCTAGGTATTTCTAGAGTATTTTACCTGGTGGGGCCAGGTGCTTGGTGGCACACGCCTGGTATGTTAATGTGAAGATTCATGCAGTTAAGGCATTTAAGAGTAGATGAAAGATGAGAGGAATCTGTTTGATTGTTCAAAAGGCCGACGGCTGGCAAATGTTACTGAAAGACGGGCTCGAAAAATAAACTCGCTAAAAAAGCTATAAAGCTAACAAGTAAATTTGAGCAACACACACACGCACACGCATACAAAAAACCACTCAAAAGATGTGAGTTAGAGTATGGCAACTAATGTGAATAAATGTGAATACATGTGAATACAACTATATATAATATGAGTTTGTAGGTTGTTGTCGTGGTTGTTGTTTATTTCTAAGCTAATTCAAATGCGTGGGCGTCACAAACGAAATTGCAAAATATGCGTAGGCAGTCGGTGGATATGTGTGCGAGTGTGTGTGTGTGTGTGTGTGTGTGATACCTCAACAACATCGTTGCGTTCTTTCTTACCTACGCACAGTTTTCAAGCAACTGAACATAAACGTGGTGCTCGATGCTCGGTGCCCGATGCTTGGCTTCAACACGGGCTCCCAGCTTTAGACATCGCGTCGTCGTCGTCGTCGTCGTCCCGCTCAAGTTGGCCCAAGAAAAAATGCTAATTTTGGTTGACATGCCATAGTTTGGCTAAGGCTAATGACGAAGGTTGTTTGTTGGCTCCGTCAGTTGATTTAATTTTCATGAGCCCATCGAAAATGCGTCAAATGGGTATATTGGCTTTGTGCGCGTGTATGTGACAAACAGAAGTAAGTTTCTCCAAATCCAATTAAATTCTTGATCTATTCTTGATCAGCATCAACTGCCGAGTCGATCTAGCCAGCTCTGTCTGTCCGTCTGTCAGTCTGAATGATCGATTTGAAAGATTATAAGAGATACAGATTATAAGATTAAAAATCTATATCGACAACATGTTTTTTGATCACAACTCTTAGCTTATTAGAGCTAGAGATTTAAGTTCCTTGTGGAGCATACGCAGTTTCAAGACCCTGAACTTTTTGGATAGTCTTGGGCTTTGGTATATACACACTCCTAATAGTTTAATAAAGATCGGACCAAAAAGCAGCGTAGTTAATCAAGTATGCATATCTCATATAAAGTGTGGCACCAAGGCAAGGAGAAACACAGAATGTTACTTAATAGGACTTAAGACTCGCAGCTTTGCTTAGGGTATCTGCCAGTCGAGTACTTCCGACTAGAGCATTCTTACTTTTTTTTAGATGGCTAGTAAACTACGTTGCCCATAACTGGTTGCCATTCGAGACGGCGATAGGAAGGCGGAGCGCGGGCTCTAAATTTCTTTTGACGGAATCTCCATGAATTAATGTTGGGCCGGATTATGCCAACTGTTCATCATCAGCATGATCATTATGATCAGTGGCCTCTCCTTAGGCGCTTGCCACTTTATATACATATGTATAGAATACTTATACCTTTAACAGATGTCAAGCTGTGTCAAGCTGGAAACTTTGGGTGATTACTTATGCTGATGAGACCCGAGAAGCGCTGCCTAGCTGACAGCCGAGTTTGCCAACTAACAAAATAGTTTTTTATGGCAAAGGCAACAGCTTTAACAAAAAACTATGAGAAGAGACTTTGGCTAACAGATCAGTGTGTGAAGCTAGCCAAATCTTTGCCGTGATCTTTGGATAACTATTTAAGAGCTATTCGGAGATACCCATGGGTCGCCTCTCAATGTCAAGGCCTGATCGCTTCATCAGCGCATTTTTTCAGCTTTAGCTGCTCCCCAAAAAAAAAAAAAAAACTACGAGCGTTAGCCTTGGCCATAAAAAAAGCGACACGACAATGCCAAAAAGAAATTGGTCAAGCAAAAAATATTTTGAATGAAATTCCAGCGACGCAGACGCACAAACAATAAAAAACAAGCAGAACAAGTCAGAGCAGGCACTGGGCATGGCTGACTAGGAGATACCCTCTAATTGTTTAATAGACAGACATATTTTTAAGAGTTGCTTCAGTGGCTTGAAGATAGATACAAATGAATAATAAATAGGTAAAAAATTGATATATTATTTAAGTTTTTTATTTTTAAATAGAACTGGCTGGGATTCGAACCCGTTTCTTCGATCTGTCCTGTTTAGGACACTTCTTCTTACATATATGTTGGATAGATGTTTCTCATAAGTGTTTAAAGGTATGACTAAATATATTATACCCTAGTTATTAAACACAGGGTATAGAAAGTGCTCATTCAATGGACACAAAGATTGTGAAGAGGATTCCCAACTGCCTTGTCTTGTGGCAACAAAATAATTTATTGAAATTCAAATTTATTATCCGCTGTTCGGGCTTGGCCCCGGCCAGACTCGGCCAGCTCAGCTTGTCAGTTTGTGAGTATGTCTTGGCTTGGTTTTGATATTTTCCCGTTTGGTTTTTGGGATTTTTTTCTTTTTCTTTCAGCCTCTGAAGCGAACCCAATTCAGCTGGAATGCAACACATATGGCCCAGAGCGTTAAACATAACTAAACGAAACAATCAAGAATGAGTGTAAAATTCCAGAATGAGCCCACGCAGCGACCAGAGCTTGCCAAGGGCAGCGGGCAGCGGGAAGCGGATGACCTGGCGAGGGGCAGCGGGATGTCAGGGTAGGCGGGGCTGCGGACAGCGGACAGAGGCTATGTGATCAACGTTTAGCTGAACGGATTGCGAGTAAAACGAGAAAATTTTTGCTCGTTTTGCTGGCATTTTACATGTGGCATAAACAAATACGAGGGCGCAGCGATGAGGGGCATGAGGGGCGAGAGGGGCATTTTTATTTTAGTGAAGAGTGAAGACTGACCGCCAGGCAAATAATTTGAAAAGCAACACGGGCAGCCGCTGTAACGCGTGCTAAACAAGTTTTGTCGATCGGCAACGAAGATCGAGACTTTTATCTTTTGTCTTTGGCCCTTGGATCTGGAGACCTGGACCTGAACCTGGACCTGGACCTGGACGTGGCTTCAAAAGGTTTGTCCTCTGGCCGTTGCAGTGCTTTTCGGTGCTGGTTTACCCAAAAGGGGTTGAGTTTTGAGGCTCCAGCATGAAAGCGGACTGTCCACATAAAAGACATTGAGAAATCGTTTAGCTGTAGAGTGGGATCTGCTGCCGCTGCTGCTGCTCCTTTCAGCCAAGTTTTTATGATTATAAATATTTATGCCTTCTGCTTGGCTCTGCGCTGGGTCCGCTGCCTCAATTCAAATCGACAACGACGACGACGACGATGAAATAAAAATCTCATTTATACAGACAAGACTGGAGACGCTGCCCAGGCTAACATC